CAGGCTTCACAGGAGCGGCATCGCGGCCGAGGCCTTCCTGGGGCTCGCCCATCTGCGCGTGGTGGACACGGCAGGGAACCCCGAGCACGTCCTGGTCCGACTGCCGCCCACCGCCCCCCGAGGGCCGCGGGCAGGGGGCCCCTGAACCGGGCTCGGTTCGGCCCGGACTGCGGAAACGGCGCCCATGGGGCACGGGCCTGGCTCTCTGGGGCCTGCTCCGCCGGGCCCTGGCTGAGGCACTTAGGACACCGGCAGGGGCTGCGGGGCGAAGCTGGCACACTCCAGGTGCAACCACTACGCGGGCCCGGCGGACACGCCTCGCCCCGCCCCCGCGCAGACGGGACAGAGACAATAAAGCCTGTAAGCCTTCCTACGCTCACCACCAACGGGCCCTTCTGCGGGCTCCGCCCACTGACTGCTTCCCACCACCCTCGGCGGGAGCTCTCGCCATCCTCTAGCTCAGCTGGGGAAACTGAGGCTCTGGGACGCTAAGTGGGTCAGGGCTGGCTTTTGAGGTCCCGAGACACTGAGGTCACCAAGCAGCACCATGGACGACCCGGCCAATGTAAACCCAGAAATGTCCAAGGCTACCCGCGGAAGAGCAGGCGCAGGTGGCTGGGGCACGTGTAGTCCCAGCTACTCGGAAGGATCGCGTGAGGCCAGGAGTTCAAGGCCAGCCTGGGCAACATAGCAAGACCCTATGTCAAAAAAGAAGCCCCCTTCACAAGAACACTGTCCCCCCAGTCCCCTCCAGGGGAACTGGGCATTGGGGGTGGGTGGGGAGACCCAGCCTGGCCCCAGAGGGACAGAGCAAGAAACAAAGACAGGACAGAGCTGAGCTGGGTGTGGCCCTGGCTGTTTATTCCAAGTGTGGACCCTGGGGTCCCAGCTGGCCAGGGTGACCCTCTGGGGAGCCAGTAGGGTTTGGCCAGCCTCAGTGGCTTCTTTGGGGTGCAGAAGGGCTTCAGGGGTAAGGCTGAGGAGGGACAGGAGGTAAAGTGCTTGCAGGGGTTCTCGGGGCCTGGTCCTGCTGCCCTCCCCACTCCAGGGCAGGCCAGAGGCCAGACACCCCTGGGCTGTGCAAACAGGACTCTCGGACCCCCCCAGCCAGGCCTGGGTGAGGGGCACACCAGCTGGTGGGCATCATTTTTGATGCCCCCGGCTGGGAGGCTCTGACGGGCTGGAGCCCAGACGGGGCTGGAGTCCAGAACCGATTGTCCGCTGATTGTCTGCTTGTCTGGTTGGCGGCCGCGTTGGCTCTGCCCCGGCACCCAGGGCCGCCAGCCCCGTCAGCTCCTCACCTGCGGAGCCGCTGCAGCTGGGGGAGAGCCGCTGGGGTCAGGGGGTTCTGCCACAGAGACTCCCTGCCCCCACCCGCCTCCCAAGGGCTCACCTCGCTCTCAACCAGATTCCGCCTGTACAGCGCCTCCTTCGCGGCCTCCTGGGGGGACAGGCATTAGCAGACAAACCCCACGCCACCCAGTGCCCACCTGGCCGTGGCCACCCCCCCCGCTGCCACCTGGCCGTGCCCACTCACCCTGCTGCCGTCATTGCCTAGGCGCCGGGCGGCCTCCGTGTAGAACTGTAGCTGCCGCTCCAGCTGGGCCGTGTACTCTGTGGGGGGGGCGGGGAGGGCGGGTCAGGCTGGGCCCCGGTGTCACTGCCCCTATGGCGCCAGATGCCTATTCCCAAGACCCCCACTGTGCCCATCCCTGAGCCCTACTCCGCAGGATGCCTGTCCCTGAGCACCAAACTCCCAGCACACCTGTCCCTGACTCCTCCACACCTAGATGTCTGTCTCCAAGCCCCTAACCCCCCAGACATCTGTACCTGAGCCTCTGAGCCCTGGGGCACCTGTCCCCAAGCCCCTCCTCACCTAGATGCCCGTTTCTCAAGTCCCTATCCCATAGGGTGCCCATCCCTGTGAGCCTACCCCGCCGGATGCCCACGCCTCCCTGCTCCAGCTGTGCCCTCTGCCATTGGCTGCGCTGCACAATGTCCTGGTACTGCTGGGCCACTTCTGGGGGCACTGGCCGCCGTGCCTGCCTGAGACCTAGGATCTGGAGGATACAGGGGGGCTGTGAGGACCCCATCTGGACCTGCAGACCCCCAGTCCCGCCCCACTAGGCCCAGCAGGCTGGGCACCCACCTTCCGCTCCAGACGCTCTTGGTCGAAGGCCAGCACACTGAGGCTATGCAGGGGCCGGGCTGATCTAACGGGGGAAGGGTGAAGGGCTGCAGGGATTCTCCCAGCCCAGCCCCATTAATTCAACAGACAACCCTCCCAACCCTCCCCCCACCCCGTGGAGCTGAGCCCTCAACCTAGTAGGGAAGATGGCTGCATAGCCAGACAACCCTGATGCCCAGTCGTCAGGAAGGGTTTCCTGGTGGTGACAGCCAAGTTGGGATCCAAAGGAGTCAGTTGGACAGAGAAACAGGAAGGAAGGGTGAGGGTAGGGGTGCTCAGGGCATCATCACCCAGAAGCCCAGAGGTCAGTGGACCACAGAAGGAAGTGGGGAGAGAGGAGGATGGATATATTGCCAATGATCAAATCATAAAAGGTCTTAACAAGCTGAGGAGTCTAAACTGGAGAAGGGATGCTAGGAAAGGTTTTGAAGCAGAGGAGGGACATGGTCCAATGTGTGCCTGGTGAAAAGCTGCCCAGGAGAGACTGAACGAGAAAGAGGAGGTTCCCTCCAGCATGGCCTGACCCAGCCTCCTACCTGTTCCCAGGCTCCCGTGTAGGGGCAGGCACAGGAGGGGCCTTCCCTTTGGGCCCAGCGACGTGCTTCAGAGGAGAGAACAAGTCCTGTGAGTCCTGGGCCTCCTGAACCAAGCCTCCCTCCCTGGGACTGCTGGCAGGCAGTGGTCTCACCGTGGGCACTGCCGCTGGCACAGGGTCGATGACCAGCCACCTCTCGGTCGTTGTCTCCAGCTGCTGGGCTGTCAGCGGCTCCCGGATACGAACCATCACCTCCAGTCGTCCCCCTGTGGGCCGGCGGCCATCCAGGACCTGGGTGGGGGTGGGAGATGCTGTCAGCGGGAAGTAGGAGGCTGCCGGAGGCCCAGGCCCAGGCCAGGGCCAGAGCGAGCCAGGGTGATTTCTCAAAAGCCACAGGCAAGGCAGGGGCACGAATTGATCATGCCGGAGCAGGGGCTGGGGGCGGTCAGGGCAGGGCAGTAGGGAGGTCTGGGGCTCCCGCGGGAGGGGAGGGGCTGGGTCGGCAGCAGGGCCCTTGGGGGGTCAAGGCAGGTAGCGCATGAATGGCATTAGTGGCACACCATACCAGAGCTTGTGGATGAAATATCCACCCTCACCTCAAGGGTCTCTCGGACCTCGCACGAGGTCTCCAGGGCGTCCAGCTTCAGCTGGGCTGTTCCCAGCACCCGGTCATTCTTGAACAGCCCCCTGTGTGTGTGTAGGCGTCAGGATGGCTGGTCTGGGCGGTGCCCTCCCCTGGAGCCGCCCGGCGCCCTGGCCTGGCTCACCCCTTGTGGACGACTTCGAACTTGATGCCTTTGGTCTGTATGGCCCGTCGGAAGCCCCGGTGGCTGCGGTTGATGCAGAGCTTGAACTGCTCCTTGAACTCTGTCGGGGGAGGACCCAGGGGAGAGGAAGCAGGGGAGTCAGGCCTCAGCCGTCTCCGTTCCTTCTGCCTTGGGGGGCCCGGGCTGCCTCCCCCCGCGGCTCACCCGGGGAGTCTGTGTTCTTGATCACGCTGGTCTTGTCCTTCTGAGCTTCTTCCTGTGGGCAGAGAGGAGGGCTCAGGGGCCTGGGGTCGGGCTTCGGACCCCCGCCCGACTCCAGCCCTCCCCTCCAGGGCGCTCCACGTACCACGTTGGGGTAGGGAAAGTCAAACCGAACGAAGATGTCCAGGTCACCAGGAGACAGCCCTGGGGGCAGAGGAGGGTGAGGGCTGGACAGGGAGGTGGCCCCCCACACCGCCGCCTGTAGCCTCCTCACCTGGGGGCGTGGGCAGGCCGCTGCCTTTCACGATGAACAGGAGCATGTCGTTGCTGCTGAGGTCAGGGAAAATCCTTCCAGGCGGGCGGGTGGGCAGGGAAACAGAGGCACCTCAGCCCCGTGGCTGCCTGCCTTCTCTTCCCTTAGTGGGGGTGGGATGACTCCCACCCTGGCCTTGGGGTAGCTCAGCTTCTAGGCTCAAGTCTTGGAATCAGACAGACTGGAGTTCTCTGAGCAGGTCTGCTGCTGGCTCTCTGTTGGGTCCCTTCTTCAGTGTGCACATATTTATGTGAACCTACTATGTGCAGCCAGTACCCAAGTTGCAGGGAGACTTTCCCTTCATGGCTGGGGAACCTTCCTTTTATCAAACAATACTTATTGAGCACCTACTATATACCAGCCAGTACCCTATCTTTGCTTGGCAACCCTCTCTTCACTTAGTCCCGCCCTACCTTCCTTCCTTCTTCCCTTTCTCTCTTCCTTCCCCTTCTTTCTTTTGAGTCAGAGTCTCACCCTGTCACCCAGGCTGGAGTGCAGTGACATGATCACAACTCACCACAGCCTCAACCTCCTGGGCTCAGGCGATCCTCCCACCTTAGCCTCTTGAGTAGCTGAGACTACAGACATGTGCCACCATGCTTGGCTAATTTTCTTTTTGCAGAGACAGGGTCTTGCTATGTTGCCCAGGCTGGTCTCAAACTCCTGGGCTTGAGCAATCTTCTGGCCTGGGACTCCCAAAGTGCTGGGATTACAGGCGTGAGCCACCATGCCAGCCCCCATTTGGTATTTCTTGAGTCCTACTAAGCACTAACCAGTGGCCCAGCTGCTGGGGGGGCCTTCCCTTAACAATATTTTTTTTTTTGAGTTGGTGTTTCACTTTGTCACCCAGACTGGAGTGAAATGGCACGCTCACGGCCATCACAGCCTCGACCTGCGGGGCTCAGGTGATCTTTCCATCTCAGCCTTCCAAGAGCTGGAACTGCAGACGTGCACTACCATGCCTGGCTGATTTTTTGATTTATTGCAGAGACAAGGTTTCACCAAGTTGCGCAGGCTGGTCTCGAACCCCTGAGCTCAGGCAGTCCTCTCACCTCAGCCTCCCAAAGTGCTGGGATTACAGGCTTGAGCCACCATGCCTGGCCCCCTTAACAATATTTCTTGAGTACCTACTGGGCACCAGTACCCTAACTGCTGGGGGATCTTTTCTCGAGCACCTACTGCGTGCCAGTCAGTCCCCTAGCTGCTGGGGGTACAGCAGTAAATGAGACAGACCCCTATCCCTGTGCTCCACCTAGCTGAATGGACAAATGGCTGTAAACTGTAAACATACAAACACAAACAACTTGACTCAGCAGAGAAGTCAAACGGGGCGCACGGAGCATGCTCAGGAGAGACTGCTTTAGATGGGGTATCTGAATGTCAAGGGGGAGCCACCGCATGGGGATGTGGGGAGGAGGGTCTGGGCTGAGGAAACAGCTGGTCAGAGGCTCTGGAGGGGGACATGCGTGGTATGTGTGAGGGCCAGAGGAGGTCTGTACAGTAGGAGCTGGGTGAAGCAGGGACAGCAGGGGGATGTGACGGAAGCCAGGACATGCGGGCTGGGGTGAGGGGTTCCTGGGGTGGCAGGGGGTCACAGGAGGGCCAGGAGCTGCACCACCCTCATCTAGAAAGTGGAGAAAGTGACCTGTGCACCTTGGGCACGGGCTGACTTCACAAGACCAGCCACCACTAGAACAGTGACACATCATCAGTCTCCCATGGGTTCCCCTGAGCCCTGGGACAAGATACACCTTTGTAGTCATTAGATCAACCTCAAAGGTGTCCCCATCACGCCTTCTTGCTGCCCTTCACTTGTGCCTCATGCCTGCCCCAGGGCCTTTGCATGCCCTGTGTTCCCACCACCCACCCAAACTCTCCTGCAAAGGCAAGTCCTCTATGGGTTTCTGGGAGCACAACCCCCTCTCCAAGGAGTGTCTGGGCCTAGGGTACAACAGGGGCCCTTACTTGATGACACTGAAAGTCCTCTGTTCAAAGCGGGCGGTGGGTGTGGGGAGGCCCCGTGCAAAGGCTTGCTTCAGAGTTTCCATGCTCCGCTTACAGTCCTCCGCCAGTTTCTCAAACCTGTGGGTGGGAGGTCCCTTCTCAGGTCCCCGGGCAGGGGACAGGGCTGGGGATGTGGCTGTCTGGCATGGGAGGGGGTACTTACTTGCTGGTTTCAGCAATGTTGCCCAGGTGAGTGAATTGGTTAGAGTGGTTCAGGCACATCTGAGGAAACAAAAGGCCGTGAGGGCGGATCGGGGGTCATGGCCCCAGGGGACAGGCCGGGCCCCCTCACCTCATGCTGCTGTCTGATCAGCTTAGTGAGTTCCCCGTAGCGCCGGGCGGCCTCCTGAGACAGGCCTGGGCCAGGTCGCTGGACCAGGGCAAAGTCATCCTTGTTGATGGGGGCAGGCGGCACCTGGAGAGGATGAGGCTCATGAGGAGTGGCTGCCGGCCAGCCACAAACATGCCCACCTAGGGGCACAGTTGGGAGGAGGGGCAGAGGGCTCTGGTTAAGGGAGGGATTTTAATTAATTAATTAATTTATGTATTTTGAGTCGGAGTCTCACTCTGTGGCCCAGGCTGGAATGCACTGGCACGCTCACATGCTCGTAGCCTCCACAGCCTCAAGTTGCTGGGCTCAGGTCATCCTTCTGCCTCAGCCTTCCAAGAGCCAGAACTACAGATGCACGTCACCACGCCTGGCTAGTTTTTGTGATTTATCATAGAGACGAGATGTTCCCCAGGCTGATCTCGAACCCCTGGGCCCAGGCAATCCTCTCGCCTAGGTCTCCAGAAGTGCTAGGATTATAGGCTGAGCCACCAAACCCAGCCAAGGGAAGGGTTTTAAACAGCTCAGGGTAGAAGAACAGTTGAGGTCTGAGCAGAGACCTCATGAGGCGAGGAAGTGAGCCAAGTGAGTATCTGCAGGAAGAGCATTCAGGCAGAGGGAACAGCACTTGCAAAGACCCTGAGGTCAGAGTCTGCCTGATGTTCTAAGACACCAGAGAGTTGAAGGCAAGTGAGTGAGGGGGTAGGTGGAGGAGACCGGGGAAGGGAAGTGACGGGGCAGATTGTAGACCACGATAAGGGGCTATGTTTATGTCTCCCAGCTAAAATGTCTGCCCCACGAGGGGGGAGATTTTTGCCTGTTTTATTCAAGGCCACATCCCCAGCGCCCAACGTGGGGCTGGACACCTACTTTGTGCTTCTTCAAAGTATTATGAACACTGCTCTATTGTACAAGAAATCTTGACTGTGTTGTTTGAGGCTGGGGTCCCCATCCCCACTTCCACAGGAGAATATTGATGCACAGAGTGATGAATGGTCCTGCCCAAAGCGAATCGGCTGTCTCCCCAAATCTGATCCCCTCCCCTTCTCTAGTAATGGAGTTCTGGTTGGGCATGCGATAGCCCAGCAAGAGACTACACATCCCAGGTGCCTTTGCAGCTGGATATGGTCATGTGACTTAGTTCTGACCAATGGGAGGTAAGCAAGTGATGTCACTTCCTTGAAAGGAAACCACTAGCTCTGCCTGTCCTTCTGTCCCTTCCCATGGGCTGGATGAGATCCACTTAGATCACACGGGCAAGGATGATCCCCTAGGGTGCAATAAGATAGAAGGGCCCTGGGCCCTGAAGGGCCTCCTGTTGCAGACATGCAAAAAACATAAATGTCTGTCTAATTTCAGTCACCATCTTGAGGGGTCTATTTGTTATAGCAGCTTAGCCTAGACACTGACTAATATACCCCAGGTTCCATGGTTGCTGAGGGGCTGGAGCCTGAGCAGTGGGTGCCTGAACGGCTACTGCAGGCCTAGAAGGTTCACCTTGGTGATGTCCACGGGGAGCCCGTTGCGTGAGGCCTCCAGCATGGGCTCCAGTCCCTTGGCCTGGCGCAGGTGCATCTTGGCACCCTCCACATCGTTTTTCTGCTTGGCTCTCAGTGCGGCCTGCAGGAGCTGCTTCTTGCGGCCCTCCAGGAAGGCCAGTTGCTGCTGGGCTGTGGGTACAGGAGCCTCTATGTGCTGTCCAGCCCACAGCCATGTGACAGGCCGCCGGGTGGGGAGGGAGCACCTACCTCTGGTGGATGTGCCTTTAGGGGCTGTTTTGGCTGCTGGGGCTGATCCTGACTGGGCAGCCCTTGAGGGTGGGGCCTTGGACTGGGCTGTGGGGGCCGCAGGGCTGTTCTGCTGCTGAGAGACAGAAAGGAAGTCAGAGGTTTCCTAGCACATGTGATGAATCCACTCCCCAGTGGTCAGGATCCAGAACCCACAACAGTGGCCATCCTGGGGATTCTCAGGACTTTGCTCTGTGGCCACCCCCCTGCCTCACCCCAAGCCTTCCCTGCTTTTTATTTTTAAGAGTCAGGGTTTTGCTTTACCACCCAGGCTGGAGTGCAATGGTGCAATATAGCTTACTGCAGCCTCCAACTCCTGGGCTCAAGTGATGCTCCTGCCTCAGCCTCCCAAGTAGCTGGGACCACAGGTACGTGCCACCACACCTAATTATTTTTTTGTAGACAGGAAGTCTGGCCCTATCACCCTGACTGGTCTTGAACTCCTGGCCTCAAGCAATCCTCCCGTCTCAGCCTCCCAAAGTGCTGGCACTATAGGCATGAGCCATGGTGCTCAGTCCTCAACCCTCACACCTTAGGTACCTCTTCATCTCCATCCTCCGGACCTTCATCTTGATTGGCCAGCTTCATGGCGGTCTCCAGGACACCCACAAGACTCTGCTGGGTAGGCTCAGTGGCCTCCAAGCCCTGGATGGGGGGAAAGCCTGGACGGCCGGTCAGGGCCTGGTCAGGAGAGCACCCACACCATCATGGTGGACGCGTGTTCCTCCCCTGCTCATGGAGGCTCGGGCCTGTAAGTCTGCTCCGAATCCAAGGACAGAACGGCTATTGGTCCCTGCCTCCCTTGGGCCTGTCAGCTTCCGCCGCCTGACCCCAGGTTTTGATTGGACTCCAACCAGACAAGGACTGGAACGTCCTCTGTGTGAGGTAGTCCTTGGCCCAGGGGACCCAGATGCAGAGAGATCATCACTCTCATAGAGGATGACAGGCAGCTCTGAGAACCCAGAGGAGGCCTCTGACCCACTGGGGGCTAATGGGGACTGAACAGGTGACGGCAAAGCTGAAACCTGATGACCAGGAGGGAGAGAGCCAGACAAAAAAGGAAAGGGACAGACAGTGGTGGCCACCAAACAGGCTCTCCACAAACATCTACCGTTTTTTTTTTTTTGAGTTGGAGTCTCACTCTGTCACCCAGACTGGAGTGCAGTGGCCGCTCCCGGCCAATGCAGCCTCTACCTGATGGGCTCCAGCGATCCTTCCGCCTCAGCCTTCCAAGTAGCCGGAATTACAGGCATGCGCTACCATGCCCAGCTGATTTTTTTTTTTTAATTTATTGTAGAGATGAGGTCTCACAGCCCAGGCGGGTCTCGAACTCGCAGGCTCAGGCAATCCACTCACCTCAGCCTCCCAAAGGCGCGATATTACAGGCTGAGCCACCGAGCCCGACTTCTCGTTTTTTTTTAGAGATGAGCTCTCACTGTGTTGCCCAGGTTGGAGGGCAGTGGCACGATCATAGCTCACTCCAACCAAGAACTCCTGGGTTCAAGTCATCCTCCCACCTCAGCCTCCCAAGTAGCTGGCACTACTGGAATGTACCACCACACCCAGCTAACTTTAAAAAAAAAAAGTTTTGTAGAGACAAGGTCTCACTATGTTGTCTGGGCTGGTCTCGACCTTCTGGGCTCAGGAAATCCACCCCCCTCAGCCTTCTGAGCGACTGGGACTACAGGCATGCATCACCCCACTCAGCTAAGTTTTAAACATTTTTTGTAGAGATAAGGTCTCACTATGTTGCCCAGGCTGGTCTCAAGCTCCTAGATGCAAGTGATCCTCCCACCTTGGACTCCCAAAGTGCTGGGAGCCCCCGTGCCTGGCCAAACTCCCAATTGTTGAACAAGCTTGTAAACCCCTGCTATGTGGCCATCAGATCCCCAGTTGGAAAGAACAGCACCAGTCAGGGCTCAGAGGCTGGGGTGGGTGACAGGGGCAGGCCCTACCTGGGGGCACAGGCAGCTCAGCCACATCCACGGCTCGGCCAGTCTTGTGGGCACGGATGGCATCTTGATATTGCTGCAGGGGACACAGGCATGAGGGCCGCCCGGGGAAGCCTCCAGGGGCCGCCCCCATGCCCACCCAGCCCGCACCTTGACAATGCGCTCATGCATTCGCGCCTTCCGCTGGTCCCCCTTGCTCTTGGCCTGGGCCGCAGCCACCCGGTACCGCTCCATCCGCTGCTCCAGTGCCTCCAGCAAGGTCCTTGGGGGTGGGGGCGCCTCTGGGCCAGACGAGGGCGGGGTTAAGAGTGGAGGGAAGGGGGGACAGTCTGGCCCCAACCTGCCCACCACCCTGGACGGTCTAATGGCCTACCTGGCGTCAAGGGGGCTGTGGCAGGAGTCGGAGGCTGCAGGGTTGGTGATGGCGGGTCTGAGGGAAGCTGGTCTGGGGACAGAGAGGTCCAGTCCGATGAGGGGCTTCCCTGCCCACCTCCCCAGGATCTCTGAGTCTGACCAGTGGGGATGGCAGCATCAGTGGGAACTTAGCAGATGCTTCAAACCATCCCAGAGGGTGGGCAAGGGCACAGTCCTCACCAGGTGGAGGGGGCAGAAGGGACAGATCCACAGGCTCCCCCCGGCTCAAGGCCTCCAAGACAGCATCGAAGCTCTGGGAGAAAGGAGGAGATTAGACGAGGAGGTTGCCACTGGGGACCAGGACCCCATGGGGAGCCCCCATGGCCTGCCATACTAGAGGACTCCTAGCTCTGTCCCTCCCTAGGTATTATTTTGCCCAATCCTCTTCTGACACGTGTGCCCACTTCACAGAGGGGATACACTGAGGACCCAAGAGGTATAGCAAACTATAGCTAAGGAGTGACCAAGCTGGATTCCAGCTTGGTTCAGTATGACTTGAGAGCCTGGGATCTTTGTCGCTGTGCAGTGATGGAACACCTTGCCCACACCCTCTGGCCCTGTCCATCAAATCTGAACGTACCTTAGCCACGCGGAAGAGCCTGGCGGCAGAAGCAGTGTCTCCCTGCTGCTTGGCGTGGAGGGCAGCCAGCTTGTATTCACGCTGGCGGCCCTGCAGCTGGGCTAGGGAGCCAGGACTGCAGGGACCTGGGGGGAGAGTAAGGCACAGGAAGCCTCCAGGGCCTGGGTCAAGTTCACTGCCCAAACCATGTCTGTTTTTCACATACTATTTTTCTTTCTTTTTTAGAGACCGGGTCCGTCTCACTCTGTCTCCCAGCCTAGTGTGCGGTGGCATGATCATGGCTCACTGCAGCCTCCAACTCCTGAGATGGAGTGATGCTCCCACCTCAGCCTCCCAAGTAACTGGGCCTACCGGCACATGCCACCATACCTGACTAATTTTTTTGTAGAGACGAGGTCTTACTATGTCGCTGAGGCTGGTCTTCATATCCTGGGCTCAAGTAATCCTCTCTCCTCGGTCTCCATAAGTGTTGAGATTATGATCCTCACACATTAAGTTAGTATCTACCATTTTTCATCTTTATTTATTTATTTATTTATTTGAGTTGGAGTCTCATTCTGTCACCCAGACTGGAGTGCAGTGGCCGCTCCCGGCCACCGCAGCCTCAAAACTGCTGGGCTCTGGGAGATCCTTCCGCCTCACCCTTCCGAGTAGCCGGAATTACAGGGCATGCGCTATCACGCCCGGCTGATTTTTTGATTTATTGTAGAGATGAGGTCTCGCTGCCCAGGCGGATCTCGAACCCGCCGGCTCAGGCAATCCACTCACCTCAGCCTCCCAAAGGCGCGGGATTACAGGCTGAGCCACCGAGCCCGGCTTATGTACTTTTAAAATGAAATTATTTTCAAATATGTGGGAAATATTGTCTGACAAGCAGCCAATTAGGAAGTTACTGGGGATGCTGTATTTCCAATTTCACCACTTAGTTAAGATGTCATGGATGGCATTTATATCATACTGTATCAGAAAAGGAAATCTTTCTCAAAACATCAGGCATTAACATGATTTGATGTAACCAAAGTGATAAGCCTGGATATATTTCCTTCTACAAATATTTAGTTATTTTTTTAGAAAGCAAGGTTTGTGTTTACAAAGTTTTGATAATCCTTGTGAAATAATATTTTAAGAGGGTTATTGAACAAAAACTGGATGTGTGTCAGCAATATAAGAGAAATTTAAATTGAATTACACAGCAGAGTGGTTGTTTATTTTAGTGGAGAAGGATAGTTTCTCTGCCATTTACATCGACCAGGTTTCTTTCTTTCTTTCTTTATTTTGACAACTGATTTATTAATATACAATTCACATATGCTTTATCTGTTTAAAACTTACAATTCAGTGGTTTGTAGTGTATTCATAGAGTTGTGCAGCCATCCCCATTGTCTTATTCCAGAACCTTTCATCACCTGAGAAAGAAAATGTGTGCCCTTTAGCTCTCACCCCAGCCCCAAGCAGCCGCTCATGTTTCGTTATATATTTGTCTATTCTGGATATTTCCTGTAAATGAAATCATGTACTATGTGGTCTTTTGTGACTAGCATCTTGTTTTCACTTAGCATAATGTTTTCAAGGGTTGTCCCATGTTGAAACATGTATCCATATATCATTACCTTTTTTTTTTTTTTTTGAGTTGGTGTCTCTGTTGCCCAGGCTGGAGGGCAGTGGCATGCTCACAGCCACTGCAGCCTCTACCTGTGGTGGAGGATAGCACATGCTCAGGCAATCCTTCCACCTCAACCTTCCAAGTAGCTGGAACTACAGGCATGTGCTACCATGCCTGGCTAATTTTTCTTGATTTATTGTAGAGATGAGGTCTTGCCAAGTTGCTCAGGCTGGTCTTGAACCTGTGGGCTCAGGCATTCTTCTCACCTTGACCTCCCAAAGTGCTAGGATTATAGGCATGAGCCACTGTGCCTGGCCTTGTTGTTACTTTTATTTTATTTTTTGAGTTTGGGTTCTTACTTTGTTGCCTAGGCTGGGGTGCAGTGGCACAATCATGACTCACTGCAGCCTCAACCTGCTGGGCTCAGGCAATCCTTTCACCTCAGCCTTCCAGGTAGCCACCACCATGCCAGCCTAATTTTTTGATTTATTGTAGAGACAAGATCTCAAACCCATGGACTCAGGCGATCCTCTTTCCTCTGCCTCACAAAGTGGTGGGGTTACAGGCGTCAGCCACTGCACCTGGCTGTAGTTGTTTTCTTTTTTTTTTTTTTGAGTTGGAGTCACACTCTGTCACCCAGACTGGAGTGCAGTGGCTGCTCCCGGCCACCGCAGCCTTGACTTCCTGGGCTCTGGCGATCCTTCTGCCTCAGCCTTCTAGTAGCTGGAACTACAGGCGTGCACTACCACGCCCTGCTAATTTTTTGATTTATTGTAGAGATGTGGTCTCACCAAGTTGCCCAGGCGGGTCTCGAACCCACCGGCTCAGGCAATCCAATTACCT